TGGGGCGGGGCCAGTGGGAGCCCCCTTTGTCTTAGCGCGGGCAGGTGAGCGGGCGGGGCGATGCAGATAAAGCGGGGGCGATCGCGTTGTTTGAGCCGCGCGCCTCGGCACCGCCGCCCATCGAACTTGGGCCGTCGCAGCGCCTCACTCCTCCTCCTCAATGCCTCCTCATTTTGTGCTTACACCCACGTTCTGTTGCCGGCTGAGGTGGCATTAACTGATGTCACTGCAGTGCCTCTGATCGGCAGGCCCTAGGTTCGAGCTCCGAATGTAGCAGGATTTTTGACACTAGCTTGTCAGACATGTCACAGTCAGCCGCTAACAAGGATACTTCAAGGAGCCGGTAGTTCTGATGAGTAGTTTTTCATGGCTTTCTGACCGGGAGAGGTGGTTCAAGACATCAAGCGATGACACTGCTGTGCCTCTGACAGGGACCTAGGTTTTCAGTTCTAACGATGGCCGGATTTTCGACCCTAGCTTATCAGCTATGTCGAGTTCAGTCGCTATGGGGGAATTCTAGCAGCCGAGTGCTCTGATCGGTAGTTTTCCGTCGTTTCCCTTATCAATACCAGGCGAATGCAGGAGCAGTACCCTCACAAACGGGCCACGGACCTCGAGCGGTCTTTCCTTCCTCCTCCCTGTTCTTTCCTCACCCCTTACGTAAATACATTTATGTGCACTTCACTACTACACGTGTCGAGTGACATGTTGGGAGCTTAGATCTTGTCCCGGCTGCTTCCAGTAGCGCTCCGCGAGTGGGAGATACCTGACGGGGCAACACCCGCTAGCAGACGAATAGGTCGACTCCGGGTCTCACCATTCTGCAAGGGAAGATTATCCCCACCACCCGGGGATAAAACATGTTGTACCCTTATGGGATGAATGATCTTAACAATTGACGAGTCCGGAAACGCGAAATAATGTCCGCCAATCAACCCATTTTCCATCGGCCGCTCGCAGCATAGTGACCGCTGTGCTTGTCGCTCGGACATCCATCACCCACGTTTTGCAAATGCGTTTCTGCTCTGACTCAAAAACTCGCTCTTGGTAGATCAGCAGGGAAAGAATCGAAGCAGATAAAATGATATCTTAACAGTTGATTAGATTCTGCATCTCCTCTCTCCCCCTCCTCCTCGTACCGCGTGTCCCTGCGGAGCA